TGTCCAGGCCAATTTCCAAAATTGTTAATTACTTTCTGTTCTCCTTTAATTCCTCCAGAATTTTCAATTGGATCCATTCTTCTTCATTTCCTGACCTAAAGTGTTAAGTAACTCTGCTAGGTACTGCTAGACAGCTGCCCCATGCTTCCCTAGAGGTGGCTATATATCTGTGGAAGGGGTGACATGATCCCTATATAAACTTTCTATACAGAGCCTAGTTCTGCCCTTCAGTATCCAGATGCAATTGCCATTGTAGTTCATACTGGCTGAGGACAGAACTGGATCCACCTTCAGGGACGTAATTGACCTTGGGATGAAAGTTTGCTAGTGCAATGTAATATGTTATTGCTACTCCCACAACACTAAAGAAACTAAACCACAACACTAAAGAAACTAAATTCCTGGGTTCAGGAGGATCTGGAGAGCTTAGCTGGTTCCATGCTGTAAGGACCATCCTGAGCTGACTCTGGGGGATGGTTTAGATCAGGCGTTCTCCAGCATATTCATTCTGCAGAGCATTTCACAAGTGAAGGGTCCTCTCCTGTACACACCCCACAAATGGGTTCTCAGAACCTTTCATTCTTTTCACCCTGGGCTACAGCTGGAGATCTACTGGACAGGTATGGAATTCCCATCTCTATCTTTTATTATTAGACCTGACAGAGCTTGTGAATTTCACTGTTACTGTGTCATGTAAACAAATATTCAACCAGAGTAAGAATCAGTCCTCCTGCTTCTGGACATCTGTCACTCCCCATTTGGGATCAAGCATCAAAATTCCTCTTCAGGGTATGCTCTTACACAATTAGGCTCGCTGGGAGGATTTAAGACCTTACACTGAAGCATCTAGCTTGTGCCCCTGTTGCAGATGGGATACCAAACTTGATGGCCCCTTGCTTTGATTTCAGTACGAAGACTATTATGAAAGCCAGTCACAATTATTTCACTTATGATCTATGACAGAATTTGAATGTCATCACTACACAGTGCACTGAACTATGTAGTGCCACCTAGTGGTCACATCTTATGCTATTTGTGGTTAACTGTCCTCCATGTTGCCTGGTTGATTTTTGCAGCCGCATCCAGGTGAGGCTCGGGGAATACAACATCGATGTGTTGGAAGGGGACGAGCAGTTCATCAACTCCGCTAAAGTAATCCGCCACCCCAAATACAATTCGTGGCTCCTGGATAATGACATTATGCTGATCAAGCTGGCAACCCCAGCTGCCTTGAACTCCCGTGTCACAGCAATCTCTCTTCCTTCTGCCTGTGTGGCTGCTGGGACTACGTGTTTGATTTCTGGGTGGGGAAACACCCTCAGCAGTGGCTGTGAGTATGAATGTGCTTCACCCATGACACACAGCCCACTTATCTTATTACAGTTATGGGACCCAGATACATTTCAGTCTTGACCTGCAGCTCTTTTTGCACTTGCAATCTTTGGGTCCACACGCTCAGCTCTGCCAATTACCCTCTCTCCTTACTAGCAGTCCCCCTGCTATTCCAGTCCTGAGCTCCCCACACAGCTCTGCCAATGCCCCTCAGTCCTTCCCTGAAATAACCCCTGCTCTATTCTAGTCATTGAGGTCCTCCTCACAGATGGTACAGTAGTTCTTACTGCCCTCTTCTTTATTGGATTCTCTAGCCCAGAAATCTACCAGTCTTTTTATTAATTGGCCTGTCTGCTTTCTAAGATGAATCTTAATGTTCTCCCCTCTCTGTTGGCAGCTAACTACCCCGAGCTTCTCCAATGTCTGGATGCTCCAGTCCTGACTGACGCTGAGTGCAGTGGTGCTTACCCAGGACAAACCACTACAAACATGATCTGCGTGGGATTCCTGGAGGGTGGCAAAGACTCCTGCCAGGTGAGCTACCTTTCATTTTCTCGTTCTGCAGAGATAGGGATCAGCTGCTCTTGTCCCTCCTGTTCCAGCCAGAACTCTGAGAACCTGCAGAGAATTAACCACAAGATGTGATGAGGAAAAGAATGTGCTCAGGAGTTTGGAGGGTGTGTTTGGGGGTGTGAACTGGATGGCTCAAGGGATCAAGCTGTGAACTTCAGGGCATTTCAACCTCTGGGTTATAGATGTAATTCAGTCTCTGATAGGGGGTGGGGATGAACAGGATGGACAAAACAAGGACAGAGGCAGGTGTTTGCTTTCAATACAGTCTCAGATCAGCAGATTTGGATATATTAGGCTTTTTACCACAGTTAGCATTGTAGTTCCAGGCACTGCTGATGGGTGTTAGGTGCATGATGGTCAACAAAGGAAACTGGGATTTTTGAGCTATCCCCTATTCCCTGCCCATCAGACATATCAGAGTATATGGACTCTGCTGCTCCTTACCTAGTGCTTTCAAGTTTCACCTGCAGCTAGTTGAAACCTTTCCCAATTAGCTGAATAGATTCCTCTGCCTGAGTTAACTCGTGTCTGTAACACCCAAATCCTTTCCCTCACAGGGCGATTCTGGTGGCCCAGTCGTGTGTGGTGGTGAGCTCCAAGGAATTGTGTCCTGGGGGATCGGGTGTGCTATGCAGGGTTACCCTGGAGTCTACACCAAAGTCTGCAACTATGTTGACTGGATCGAGGAGACCATTGCTGCCAACTGAGACCTCCATCTGCTGCTGGTTTCCTGGTGACCTTTCCTTCCCTCCCCCTTTAATTCATCTTTGAAAACAACATAGTACAAATAAAGCTATATTAGCTGTAGCAAGTGCTTTCTTGGTGCCAGTGTTTTTCATAACACCTTACTGTTCCCTAGCACTCTCATTGCTAAAGTGCTGTATAGATGGTGCATAATGGGATCACTGCCCCAGCACTGAAGTGATCCATCTTTGAGTGAAACACAGCAATACTCTGCATTACAAACTAGCTCAGGATGTGAGGCAGGATAGTGGATCCAGTTGTACCTGCTGGGGGAAATTTAGGGAGGCTGTGTTTATTCAGGATGGACTATGGCCAGGACTTCTCTAAACATACAAAATGGTTCATGGGTCTTTTAAAATTAGACTTAGTAGTTTATGCAAAGTGGTGACTGATAGCCCTAAAGACTGGTCCACAATAGGAGGCAAAACACAGGCAGCAACAGAACAGGCCCCTCTCTCTCGACAGTACAAGATTGTTCTATAGCAGGGGTTGGCAACCTGCGGCACGTGTGCCAAAGATGGCACACGAGCCGATTTTTTTTTTTTTTAATGGCACGCTGCTGCTTGCCGTGGTCCTAGCCCCGCTCAGCCCCCCACCCACCGATTTCTCCGGCAGGGGCAGGAGGTAGAAGCTTGGTCATGCCGGCAACCAAGCTCTTCTCTCCCCGCTTCTTCCCCCAGCATGGTGCTTTCCTGCCCCTCTCCCTGCCACCAATCAGCTGATCGCCTTTGGTTGGGGGAGCTGAGCTGAGCCGCAGCCTGCTCGCTGCTTGGGGGAGGAGGCAGAGAAGTGGTGGGGATGGGGCATGTTCCCTCCAGCCCCCCGCTGTGAGCACAAGCCGAGCACCCCAGCCCTCTGCCCTGCACCCCCTCAAACACCTCCAGCCCCCGTTCTGACCTTAGCACCCCTCCACACACACCCAGCCCTCTGCACCCCCCACACATACCCAGCCCTGCCATGCCCTGCATGTCCTGCACCATCCTGAGCCCCAAACAGGAGCTCCTGCACCCCGGTCTGGGGTCCTTGCTTCTGGTCAGGTTTCGATCCTG